GCTTGCGAGGGTGGGGCCTCGGATGGGCTTCCCTGGGCTACACAGGATCTGGCTACCTGCACAGAGCTGGGGGGGCTCGGGCCGCACCCAGGGACAGGATGGAGTCCGCTCCCTTCCCCACAGCACAGAGGGGTCCCGGGGCTGCAACGTGAGGGGGGGGTCTGAGCAGTGGAGGCCTGAGGGCCAGACACTCAGCGGTGACCAGACCGGGTGCTGAGGCAAGGTAGTCCGGCACAGCGAGGCCAGCGCATCCAAGGACACAGTCGGGATGGTGAGTGGGGCGACCAGGACGAACGCACACACTTCCATGCCTGAGGTCCCCCAGGCAGACATACACGTCCACTCCGGTCCACCTCTGCCCAGGACCGCCTGCCCCTGGGAGGCTCACGGGCAGCCGGCCCCGCCCCCACTCAGCCCTGAAGACCCCGCCCCCACTCAGCCCTGAAGACCCCGCCTCACTCAGCCCTGCAGACCTCGCCTCACTCCAGGCCCGCCCACCCTCCGCCTGGGGGCGGTGCCAGAGGAGGGGCTTCCCGCGTCCTGGAAGCCCCGGGCCACCCCGCTCTCCATCCAAAGGGCGATTGTGCCCCAGCAGGAAGCAGGTGCCGGTGCCGCATGCCCCGCAGGCTGCAGGGTAACAAGGGGACATTCTCTCCCCTGGGGTCCCCGCGGAGCCGGTGCCAGCAGAAGCAGGCGGCGCGGGCCCCGCCCCCGCTGCGGGCCCAGGCAACGGGAATGGAGGGTCCAAAGGCTCGCTGGCCAGTGCGCCCCCTGCACAGAGCGGGCGGTGCTGCAGGCCAGGGGACCCGGGCCAGGCCCTGGGTCCCTGCAGAGCCCGAGTCTCGGGGTGTGGGGGGGGGGGGTGGGGGGGGGGGCCCAATCTAGGCAGAGGAGCAGGCCCTCCAGCTCACAGGCCTGCCGGGTTGGGCCAGTGCGGTAGGCTCCAGACGTCTGGCGCCACCAGGATGGCTGTGCCCCGGCGTTCAGGGGAGACAGCGCCCATCCTCCCTCCCCAGCGTGGACCTCCCCAGGGGTGATGCATCACAGAGGGAGAGACAAGGCCTGGGGAGGAGAAGGGACCTCCACGACAGTCTGGTCCCCTGGCCCTGGACCCCGGGGGCTGGGAGCCCCTGGGGGTCACTGTGTCTAGGCAGGGCCCGCCCTGCAGTCCCACAGCCAGTCCTGTCTGGGCCCCACCCTGGAGCTTGAGCCAGCCCAGCCCCCTGCCCACACCCTCGAGGCCGGGAACGGCACACTCACAGGAGAACGTCACAGGCCCTTTGCACTCAAGACAGGCAGACCTGGCTGTCCCCTCAGGATGGGTCTCCAGTCTAACGCAGGTGTCCTGGGCCCTGTCCAGCGCAAGGCCTCAATTACAGACACTCCTGCCTGCTGAAGCGTCACCTCCAGGCCATGTGAGCAGCAGTGCCCACTGGGCCCTGACACCCAGTTGACAACCATCCCATCCTCTAAACATACCTTGGGGCCCTTCAGGAAATCGTCCCATGGAGGAGGGGGACCCTGGTCCACAAGCCCATTGCCCCCACCCCAAAGAGGGGCAGGTCCTGAGCCCCAGGGCCAGGGTATGGGTGAGGGGAGAGGGACTCACCGGGCTGGCAAACCGGCTGCAGGGTGGCCGCAGGAGCGCCTGCCTCTCTGACCCGCTCCCGGGCAGAGACAGACCCCACTGTGTGGCCAGAAGCCGGACGCTGGCCACGGCCCAGGGCTGCGTCAGGGCCCAGGACCGTCCCGCCAGCTGTGTGGCTTTGGCGCTGCAGAGAGCGGGCGGGGGGTGAAAGGACCCACGGGAGGGGCCGCATCAGGCTGGGGCCGCCGGGGCCCCCTCTGCTGACTGACCGGCCTCCCCCCGGCGCTCATCCTCCAAGAAGGCCGTGCCGGGCCACGGCTGACCTCCCTGGGGGGCTCGGTGTGGTGGCCCAGAGGTGCCCCCCATGAGGAGGCAAGTGAGTGCTCTGTGGTCCTTCGCACCCCCCGCCCCCGGCCCCCAGGGTGCCCCCGCCGGGCTGCAGCCCCCGTCCTGCCCCGCGTCTGGGCTGCCTTCTCCTCACCACGGCCATGGCGGGTCACCAGAGCCGGGCCCGCGCGGCCTGAGGGGGTGGGGCGGCACTGTGGCGTCCCCTCTGCAGAGCGGGCTGAGACCTGGCGCACATTACTCTGCCCACCCCAGGGGCCCCAGGATGTCCCCAGCGGGCAGCCGGCACCCACATAAAAGCCCGAGGGTCTGCGGTGAGCGGAAAGGGGAAGACAGGTGTGAAGGAAGCGTTAGCACGGCCTGGCGTCTCTAGAGCCCATCCGAACTGGAAGGGAGGGCCCAGCTCTGTCCCTGGCCCCCAGCCACCGGCCACGGTTCACCAGTCCCCTCGGAGAACCCAGGCCCAGGGACACGGGCCTCCAAGCCCCTGCATCGCCTGTTCAGCGGCACGGGACAGGGCGCCTGGGGGCCATGGAAGGAGGCCGCCCCCGCCCCCCCCACACACACACACACATGCCCTGGTCCCTCTCTCAAGCGTTTTAATGTTTTAGTTAGATGCCAGCTTTTTAAAACATGGAGATGTCGCATAAGAACCTGCTTCCCTTGAAAAACCAGCCTCTCTCCCCAGCTTCCCCTGCACACCCACCCCGGATGGGCAGCCGGGTGGGCAGCCCCGCCCACCAACCCCGCGTCCAACAACACACAGCCAGAGCCCCTCTGGAAAGGAGACCATAGAGTGCAGGCTGCCAGCTTTACTGGCGGCGTCAGACTCTGCATGTTAAACTGGACAGACAAGCAGACGGACTGTTTCCAAAGTTGTCTGTTACAAACCACATGCGCTTTACGTTGTGATAGACACCCCCAATTTTCCCTCCGAAAAGACAGTGCTGGTTGACACTCCTGCCAACCTCAAAGACAAAAGTAACTGTCACTGAATCTCCATGACAGTTTCGCGCTCTTGGTTACCGTGCAGCTGAGAACAGCCCACTTCCACGGTGCTGGCTCTGTGGGCAGCAGTGACGGTCTGACACCGGCTCACCGGAGACAGCCCGCTCGTTTGGTAGTAAGAGGCCTCCGTGCTTCCTGCTTATCCTAGATTCACTCGCTTGTTCACATCAGCTGAGCAGGGATTGTGTTTTCTCTGGCGGTTGGCAGATGTGCCTGAGGCTCAGAGCAGTGATGGGATCTGAGTCTTTATTTTTATTTTATTTATTTATTTTGGCTGCACTGGGTCTTTTTGAATGTTTATTTTTATTATTTATTTATGTTTGTGCTGGGTCTTCACTGCTGCAGGAGCTACTCTCTAATTGCAGAGCACGGGTTTCGCATTGCAGTGGCTCTGCTTGTTGCAGAGCACAGGTGCGGGGACCCGCGAGCTTCAGTAGCCACGGCTCACAAGGCCGGTAGTTGCAGCCCCCAGGCTCTCGAGCACAGGCTCAGTAGCTGCAGTGCCCGGGTTTAGTTGTCCTGTGGCATGTGGGATCCTCCTGGGTCAGGGATTAAACCTGTGTCTCCTGAATTGGCAGGTTTTACCACTGGACCACGAGGGAAGCTCGAGGCTTTCTTTAAATCAGGGTCATTTTTCCCATTTTTGTTTGGCTATCAGCTCTAGTCCATGGCCTGTACACCCCTTCCCAGACTCCTCTCAGGTTGGCTCATCTGGGATCTGATTCCCTGTCTCCTCTCTCCCTTGCAATTTCCCTCTTTGCATTTTCCTGTGGGTGGAGGATGGAGGAACCTCCTGGGGGCGGGGGAGGGGAGGGGGCGGAGGAGGGGAGGGAGTGGGGCGTCTCCTGCTGACCTGGATCTCTGGTCCATCCTGCATGGACTGTTCATTTTTTTCTGTTTCTAAATATTGTCATTTATCCTCAAATTTGCTGCAGTATATCCCATATTCTTACTGAAAATTTATTCTTCATAAGTCCTTCCATTAAATTGTGTCCAAGTTAGCTGCTGCCTGTTCTGTGGGTGAGAGTTCCCCTTCTCTTTGAAGTGCTGATTCTCCTGAAAAGTGTGGACATGTCTGGACCCAGGAGCGCCTGAGCAGGTGCCAGGGTCCTCAGGGCTGAGGTCCCCACGTGGAAGGAAGGGGACCCCAGAGCCAGACGGACAGGCTAGGCTGAGCCTCTCAGCTGAGTGTGAAAGAGCAGCTCTGTTTCTTGGGTGCTCCAGGTAGCCCACTTTTCTCAGGCATAGGGCACATGGTTCTGGGTGTGTGCACCCCACTAACCACTGGGCCCCCAAGCAGCCAGGGATCACGTTCTGCCAGGCAGGCATCCTCACTCCCTCCACACAAACCACAAGAAAGGGGGCCTGGAAGCCACCCTCCTCTGGGGTTTCATCCAGTGCTGTCTCCACGGCAACCAAGGGTACAGCAGTCCCCTCTCAGCTCTCCGGCAGTTCTCCTCCTCCACTCATCTTTTGGGGGGGTTGTCGCAGCTCAGACCTGCAGCACCAGCCTTCAACCTGTGCTCCGGCTAAACCATTTGCCTTGTAAGCAGTTCTAACATTTCTCAATCCAAAACCGTTCTTCAGTTGGAAATAAGCCTCATACAGCCAAAGAAGGAAAACCGAGCATTCCAGAACCTTCCAGACCCAGGTCCCCAGGCCCGCCTCCAGAGTGTGGGGTGCTGACAGTGTCTCAGTGACCAGGGTCATGTCCCCATGGCTGGCAAAGTAGGGGGAGCCGCTCTGAGCTCCAGATTCCTTTCTTCTGATGGAAGATCTCTCACTTTCCCACCTGGTAAGACATTTCTATCTGGTGAATCTGATGAGCAGGCTCACATCCTCAGTCCAGGTGTGATGGTGTCCTATATTTCAGGTCCTCAGCGGAGAGGTCACCTCCGAGAGGATGGATCATGGGTGGTCTTCGTCCTGAGGGCTGGTGGTCTGGCAGGGACTGGGTACCCCAGGTGCCCCCAGGAGACCCCTCGGAGCCTGAGGCAGCGCCCGGGGCCTTCCAGGGACAACAGGAGAGGGCCTGGCCAGAGTCCGCGGCGCCATCCCTCTAGGCCTCCAGGAAGGCGATGTTCTTGGGGGGCTTGTCGGGGAACTGCAGGGTGTACAGGTGGGCCATGTACTGGAGCTCGGGCATGACCATCCGCTGACACGTCTGCAGCGTCTGGTTGTCAAGGCCCGGCTTGACGTTGTAGCCCATGATGTCCGCCCTGCCCGACTGGTAGGGGCGCAGTCGGAAATCGGTGATCTGCGACTTGTTCTTGGGCTCGCTGTCCTGCAGACACAGGGCGGCCAGCTCGCGCCGCCGCTCGCGCAGCCGCGCCACCTCAGAGCGCAGACGCCGCGGACTCAGCTCTGCGCTCAGCCGGGCCCAGAAGGTGCGGTTGAAGTGCTGGTAGAGGCGCCAGTCCAGGGCGCACCAGTGCTTGGCACGCTCCTGGCCTGCGGGCGACAAGCTGGTGACGCTGTGCCGGCTGCGCGCGTTGAGCCTGAAGGCCACCACGTCGTCCAGCCGCCAGCGCAGCAGGCGCCGGAGCAACACCATGGACTCATCGAAGTGCTCCGCGATGAGCAGCAGCTGGAAGCGCCTCTCCACGTCGAGCAGGCGCGCGCGCACATAGTCCTCCTTGGGCGGCGCGTCGTTGTCGAAACCCAGGTCGAACCACATGCTGTTCCGGGCGTAGGCGTTGCTCAGGCCCAGGCTCTGGTTATAGTAGGCCCACGGCGAGGCCAAGAAGGCGTCCAGGCTGGTGACGTTCCTAAAGGCGGGGACGTGGCTCTTGTAGTAGACGAAGGAGGACTCCAGCTGGAAGACGGGGTTTCTGAGGATGGAAAAGTAGAAGGTGTCGTTGGGCATAACTTTCTGCACCTGTTGGGAGACAGAAGGGGAAGGGCTGGTGACCCTCTGGGCTCCTTCGGGGGTGGTCCCCGGGGGCAGGTGGTGCCTCCTCCCTTGCCCCCACCCCGCAGCACACCTGAGCCTGCCCCCGGCCCCCCACCCCCCGCACCCAGTCCCCTGCATCCAGTCCAGGCCACCTGGCTCCTCTGCCTGCCACCTTCACCAGCATCCAGAACGACCTGAAAGCCCCTGAGCCTGGCCACGCCCCGGCCCCCATTACCCTTCCCCGTCACCCCTGCTAAGCCTTTGGGGAGGAGGTCAGAGAAGCCCCCGGGAGGAGATGCCCTCTAAGCTAAGACCCGAATGACCCAGAGAAGGAGCCGTGAACACGTGAAAAGGGCCTGCGGAGGGACGAGCTGGTGAGTCTGGACCCAGGAGGAGAGGGAGAAGAGGGAGAAGGCGGCAGACGCCGGGTTCCCGCTGCTGACTCAGAGAGCAACGCCCCCGGGAGCCCCGGGACCCCGCCTGGGAGCCACGCCCTCCATGAGCCCCGCCCCCGGAGCACCGCCCTCCAGGAGCACCGCCCCTGGAAGCTCTGCCCTCAGAGAAGCCCCGCCCTTCTGGAGCCCCGCCCAGTAGCCCCGCCCCCAGAAGGATCTGTCCCCGGGAAGCCCCGCCCCAGGAGCCCCGCCCCCGAATCCCGCCCTCCATGAGCCCCGCCCCCAGACCCCGCAAGTCCCGCCCCCATGGAGCCCAGCCCCCGGAGACCCACCCCGGAAAGCCCCGCCCCTGCGCACCTCTGGCGGGTTGAACCTCAGGTGGTTGCACATGATGTTGAAGCGCCGCTCGGGGCCGCCCTGCTCCGCGCCCTCCACGTAGCGCGCCAGGAAGAGCCAGGGGTAACCGAGGTGGAAGCGGCCGCCAGCAGGCAGCGCCGCCGACAGGTTGTGCGTCTCGACGAAGCGGAAAAGGATGTTGAGCACCGTGCTGCTGGCCGTCTTGTGCGTCTTAAGAAACATGACGTTGGTGACGGGGGGCCCGTCAACTTGGTCCCCGAGTTGGCTGGGGGAAGAGTGCAGCGCCGTGGGCCGGGGATCCTCGCGCTTGCCCAGCCGGAGAGATCCCAGCCCCGCGACCCCTGAACCTGGAGGCCCGCAAAGGTGCTCCACCGTCCAGGCTTCCCCGACTCACACTCCCTGAGCTGGAAACACCCAACCCAGCCCCGCCACTGTGCCCCCTTACCTGAGACTCCGCCCTAGCTGTGCCCTTCCAGTGGTTGCACCACCTGTTCCCACATACTGCAGGCTGCTCTCCCAGGCCCTGCACCCCTCTGCTTCCCAACCTCCTGCCTGGCTCTGAGGGCGCCCTGCATGGCTCTGCCCTGTGACCCAGGCCATATGACCAGTGGTGCTTGGCTGGCCCCTCATGCTGAGCAGGCTGACTCACCGCCAGGCAAGACTGGACGCTGGTGCCCATTCCCATGATCTCAGGGTGGCACCCACCCAGTTGTGGACACCAGCCTGGAGCTGGTGCCCACCCTGCCCCAACATAGGACCCCAAAACAGGGCTGGTGAGAGTGACCCAGGATGGTGGAGACAGGGTCCAGAGGCTAGTGCCAGGCTTCGGGGGTAGGCAAGGATACCCAGGAAATTTAGCACTTCCCCTCTCCTGTGGAGATCAACCAGGCCCAGGGCTGGAGGGCCCTCCCAGCAGCCAGGCTAAGGCACTGGGGCTGGGTAGCCATCAGGAGGACCCTGGGCTTCACAGAGGCCATGCCACAAACCAGCAGGGGGCAGGGGTCCTGACCCCCAGACCATTAGGGGGTTCTAACCACCCCAGCCCTGCCTCCTGGTTACCCTCTGCACACAGCAGCTCTGCCCAGGGCACCCCCAACCTGGCCCAGATTCAACCCTCCCATATCCCTCCCCGGAGTTCTGGGCAGTTTACTGCCCATGGGAGATACTAGGAGGCCCCCAGGCTGGGTGACCACAGGAAGAGCCCCTCCTCCACTGCAGAGGGGAGGCTGAGGCCTGGAAGGGAGGCGTGGCCTGCCACAGTCACAGGCAAGGCTGGGTGCCACTTGGAGTAGGGCACGCTGGGGTCCCATCCCAGTACTGCTCGGGGAGGGGGCAGTGCCCAGACCTCAGGCCACCCAGTGGAGGACTCACGGCATGAGCAGCCTGACGTCCACATGCATGACACCGGCCAGCAGGAGCACAGCCAGGGCCAGGAGGAGGAGCACGGCCCAGAAGCACCTGTGGGCAGAGGACCCCTTCAGCACTGAGTACAGGGCCCGGAAGGAGCCTCTGCTGCCTACCCCCTTCCCTACCCGATCCATCTCCCTGGCGCCCGTGTAATATCTTGTGTCCAGCACCTACTGTGCGCTGGCCCGTGGGGGCCCTGGGGTGGGGGCGAAGCCCAGGATGGGCCTGAGTCATCAGACACCACCCCCACTTGGCACTGTCCACTGCTCAGAAGCTGGGAGAAGCCAAGAGGGGGACCTACTCCATGGGGGGCAGGGGCGGTCAGAGGTGAAAACAGGTCTGGGGACCCTCAACCCTGAGCAGGGCACCCTGAGAGACGGGCCTGACTGAGACCCCTGAGTTCCAGCCTAGGGACCGTGAGGGCAGGAGGGCCTGCCTGGGTGCAGGAGCTGAAGGTGGTGTGGGCAGGGGTCCTGGGCCAGAACTCACAGGGAGAGGCAGTGAGCAGATGAGGAGGGACAGGCAGGGACTCCCTGTCCCGCCATCCCCTGGCGGGGTGAAGAAGCTGGAGTGGCTCAACCATGAGGGGCTCCTTGTACCACACCACCTGGAGGGCCACTTTGTACTGAGAAGGGGGAGGCCCGGCCAGTCTCAGCTCTGCTCACCATCTGTAGGCCGCCCCAGACTTACACCCTAGCCTGGGCTCGCCCCAAACCCCCACTGGGATGTGCAGAGGCATCGCAGCCTCCAAGGTCCAGACTGGCTCCAACTCTGCCCTCCAAACCCAGCCTACCCCCAGGGACAGCAGCTCTTTTGCCTGCTCTGGTTTCCGCCCCCCTCCCCCCCACCTTCTGTCCTGATCCCTGCTACTCCCGAACCCTGATGGCCTGGTTACCCCCTCCTGTGTCCCTGCCCCTGGGACCTGGCACCTCCACTGGGTGGCCTGAGGTCATTCCCCCTCAGCAGCCCAAAAGGCCCTTTTATTAAAAAATCCGAAGTGCTCAAAGTCTTCCTGGTGGTTCAGATGGTAAGAATCGGCCTGCGATGCAGGTTCGGTCCCTGGCTCAGGAAGAGCCCCCGTAGAAGGGCATGGCAACCCACTCCAGTGTTCTTCCCTGGAGAATCCCATGGACAGAAGAGCCTGGCGGGCTGCAGTCCATGGAGTCTCAAAGAGTTGGACACAACTGGGTGACTAGCACTTTCATTTTCTTTCAACAAGCCCAAACCCTTGATTAAATCCCATAATTGAAGAGCCTCCTGTGCTAAACCCTTCAGGAAAGTGCAAGTCTTTCCAGCCAGTCCCCAGGCCCCTGCTCCACCCCTACCCTCCAGCCATTCCACTTCCTCCTGTTCCTCAAACACCCAGCCCCAGGACCTTGGCACTCAGGAGGCTTCAGCAGCAGACTGTCTACCAAGTTTCTGCACCAGCTGCCCCCCACTTCTCTGGGCTGTGGGCAGGGGGTCTCCCAACCTCCCTGCAGCTCACCCTGCTCCTCATATCTCACTGCCACCTGAAGGTGTCACAGTTGCATCTGTCCCTATTTGTCTATACTGCCACTGGGCTTCCCTGGTGGCTGAGACGGTCAAGAATCCTCCTGCATTGCAGAAGACCTGGATTTGATCCCTGGGTTGAGAAGATCCCCTGGAGGTGATAGTCACTCCTTTGTCCATGGAATTCTCCAGGTAAGAATACTGGAGTAAGTTGCCATTTCCTCAACTCACTCCAGTACTCTTGCCTGGAGGATGCCCATGGACAGAGGTGCCTGGCGGACCACAGTCCATGGGGTCTCGCAGAGTTGGACAGGACTGAGCGACTAAGCACACAGCACAGCTCTGCCCACTGTCAGGTAAGCTCCTCGGTTTCTGGAAGGGCAGCTGGCACATGCGCAGTGCTCAGCTCATGTGTGCTGAGTGAGTGAATGAAGCCCAGCACACATCCCACCCCCTACCTCAGACCTCCTGGATTGAGTTGGCTTGGGGTACCGAGGGAGGGGAAACCACAGGGTGGGAACGAGATCAGAAGCAAATCTGTTGAGTGTGAAATGTCCTGAGACACCAAGAGGAGGTGCCCAGCAGTGCTGAAAAAGGAGTCCGGGGCTCAAGGAGTTGCCAGGGCCAGGACATGCATTCACACATCAGCATAAAAAGGCCTGGCGTGCTGCAGTCCATGGGGTCACAAAGAGTCAGACACAACCGGGTGACTGAACAACAACAGTAAAACCCATGTGACTTGGAACCTCAGCCGCAGGAATCAGAAAACAATGGCAGACTCCCCTCACCAATCTAGAAGCTTGGGAGGGAAGCTGCTGGCTCTGGCAGACTCAGCCCCATCACACTGAGAAAACTGACCTCTCTCTCCCCATCCTCGTGGCTTGATAGTCACAAGATGGCTGCCAAGTTCCAGACATCACATAAACATTTGGATCAGCAAGAAAGTAGAAAGGACAGTACCAGTCATAATAAGGAACCAAAAGCCTTTTAGAAGCCTCTAACAAACCTCCTCCTCCACCTTGGCCAAAATGCGGTCACATGGTCCCCCTCAACTGCAAGGGAGTGCTGAGAAAGCTTCATTTAGTGTTTACAGCTTCTGTCCTGGGGGTCACAAGGAGAAGGTGGTGGCTGTCAGCCTCAACTGTGTTTGTGTAAATCCATGGAAACGGTGGGCTGCAACCTGGACCTAGCTAGGTTTGCCCATGGAGGCAGGCACATCTCTGAAATACAAGTGAGCTTCTCACCTGTGGCCCGGCCGTGGCCCTGGATCCAGGGGGCCCAGCCTGCAGCAAGAACAGCCCCCAAGTCAGGCCCCTGTTTAGTCCTGATGCTCAGGCTGCAGGCACTTCCTGGACGTCTGGACAGAATTCACAGCCAGGCGGCCCTGGCCCTGCCTGCCTCCTGTGGCCTCAGCAGGATGTTGGCAAAGCCACCGTCTCCGGGACCTGGGTTGTTCCCGGGTGTTCGCCGCGGCCTGTGTACAGTGCAGGCACTGCTTGCATCCAGGTGCTTTGGCCCTGATCTTCCAGTGGGCAGGCCCCTGTGTGCTGCCAGGCCCACCAGGACCCCTCACTCAGCCGGAACACCACCCCCTACACATCACCCACTCCTTTCCTTCTTGCAGACAGGAGCAAGTCAGGAAGGCGGGGCTCTGTGGCCTCTGACACCTGGACACCTGGCGCAGGGCCCGACCAGCCCAGCGCGGGAGGGATGCTGATGGCTCAGCATCCTGACCTCTCAGGGGTGGCAGGCCTGCATGTGCTCCCCTCAGCCGTGCTCTGAGCTCCCGGGAGGAGCCACCCAGCCAGGCACTGTCTCCAGGACGGACCGGCGCTGACCGCCTGCCCCCAGGCACCGGGAGGCTTCACGACTGCCCTTCCCAGGTTGGTTCTGAGGCTCACGGCCCTTCCCCCTGAGCGCCCTCCTCACCACCTGCCCCCTGCTGGTGTCAGGACCAGCTCTGAGGCCTCCTCTCGGGCGGATCCAAGGGAAGGGTGAGTTCCAGGTGTCCCCGCGTCCGAAAGAGGAGAAGGTCCCTCCTGGGCCCGCGTCTCCACGCGGCCTGTGTCCCCAGGGCAGCCGGTTCCTCGGGCTCCAGCGACGTGGGGAGGCAGCGGCTGGGACCAGGAAGGCCCCCGGGGGGCGTGGAGGGCCCGGCGGGGCTGGAGGGGACGAGGGGCCGCTCCGTGCGGCGGTCAGGTCCCAGGTGAGAGGGGCCGGTGACAGCCCTGCACGCGGAGGCTGGCACAGGGAGCAGAGCCGGGAGGGAGCTCCCTGACTGCCTGGGGCCCCCGCACAGGGCTCTGTGGGGACGGGGCCGGGGAATGCGGGGGAGGAGCCCGGGAGGAAAGGGCAGCTGGCGGGTGATGCCGGACAGCGGGCGGCCAGACCCCGGCTCGCAGGAACCTCTCGACACCCCCGCCAGACAGAGACTCAGAAGTGGGCTCACACTGGCTGCAGGGCCACCCTGTGAGACCCCCTGGCCCCCAGGCCCCAAGCGGGGCGCAGGTCCCCACCCCCCACTGTGCTCTGGGGCAAGGAGATGGCCGGACCCCGCACCCAACAGTCTCGAAGCTTCATGTCATCCCCCAAAGAGAGTTTTTAACTCAGAATTCAACTTTAACTCATCTTCCCATGGAAGCACATCATGTGGTCATAGCAGAACAATTCTAAACAGTGTCAGGGAGCAGGGGCCTGCCAGGTGCTAGGAAGGGAGGGGACCCGAGGGCAGGGAGGGCGCCTGATGCCGTCCGGGGCAGCGAGCAGCCAGCCACCAATGGACAGGCTGCCGCGCCTGACTCCCAGCCAGCTCCGTCCATCAGAGGAAACCGCTCAGAGCCATGAACGCGGCGGGCCGGGCGGGCGCTCCCTCCCTCCCGGGGCGCACAGCCTTTCGGGACCTCAGAGCCCCTGCCCAGCTCAGACGTGTCCAAGGGCTCACCCCTCTGCCATCTCAGGTTCTGTGATCTGGACACACACATGGCGGGGAGTCCCACACGCTAGGGCACGGTGAGGAAGCCCGGGGCTCACGCAGTGCTCCCCGCGGCCGGCCCAGCTGGGGAATGAACAGGAGCCGTGGGCTGGTGGCCTCCCCATGGGACAGGGCAGGGAAACTGACGGGGGCACGGGATCCAGGGCGAAGGCCCACGAGCTGAGAGATGTCCAGTGGGACAGGTCGGGGAGAACCAGGCAGGAGCCGGCAGCCCTGTCCCAGGGAGCAGAGGTCCGGGGTTGCTCCGGGAGGGGGCGCTGGGTGGATCTGGGCCCAGCGTCTCCTTCCCCAGGGAAGGGCCGGGTCCGTGCACCCAGGGGCTGTTTTCTCTCTAGGCTCTCCACAGTGTTTGGTCATTTTCATCACCTCAGTCCTGTGCCCCTTGTGTTTATTTCAATCTCCAGTTTTTATTGCCATTTAAATGAATTCACATTTCATTTCTTGGTCCCATCACTAGAGTAGAAAAAGCTTTGTTAAAAAAAAAAAATGTGCCTTGTATCCAGTCAGTTCCAGCCACTGTACATGCCTCTAGCAGCCGAACGCTAGCGGTCTGCTGTCTGGTGTGACGGGGCACTGCCCAGCTCGCCCTCTACACCTGCCTGCTGGCCTGTGACCAGCCACAGCACCAAGACGACCCGGGTCTTGCTGGAAAGAAACGGGCTTTAAAAAAAGAAAAGAAACGTTCTTTAGGGACACAGCCTGGGGGCTGGGGGTGCTCGCTGCTCTGGGACGTCGTCAGTTGCTGGGTCCTCTCAGTGGGCACAGCTGGGAGCTCCCCGAGTTCACACCCACACGGCCAGCTCTGACGCCACACTTTGGTGGTGTTCACTCACTCAGTCATGTCCAACTCTGCGACGCAATGGACTGTAGCACGCCAGGCTTCCCTGGCCTTCACTGTCTCCCGGAGTTTGCTGAAACTCATATCCATTGAGTTGGTGACGCCATCCAACCATCTCATCCTCTGTCATCCCCTTCTCCTCCTGCCCTCAATCTATCCCAGCATCAGGGTCTTTTCCAGTCAACAGACTCTTCTCATCAGGTGACCCAAGTATTAGAGCTTCAGCTTCAGCATCAGTCCTTCCAGTGAATACTCAGGACTGATCTCCTTTAGGGTGGGCTGGTTTGATCTCCTTGCCGTCCAGGGGACTCTGCAGCAGCACAGTTTGAAAGCATGAATTCTTCTGTGCTCGGCCTCCTTTATGGTCCAACTCTCACATCCGCACATGACTACTGGAAACACCATAGCTTTGACTTTACACACTTTCGTTGGCCAAGTGATGTCTCTGCTTTTTAATATGGTGCCTAGGTTTGTCATAGATTTTCTTCCACGGAACAACCATCTTTTAATTTTATGGCACAGCCACTCTCTACAGGATTTTGGAGCCCAAGAAAATAAAGTCTGTCACTGTTTCCATTGTTTCCCCATCTATTTGCCATGAAGTGATAGGATCAGATGCGATGATCTTAGTTTTTTTGAATACTGAGTTTTAAGCCAGGTTTTTCAGTCTCCTCTTTCACCTTCATCAAGAGGCTCTTTAGCTCCTCTTCACTTTCTGCCATCAGAATGGTATCATTTGCATATCTGAGGTTATTGATATTTCTCCTAACAATCTTGATTCCAGTTTGTGCTTCATCCAGTTCAGCATTTTGCCTGATGTACTATGCATATAAATTAAATAAACATGGTGACAATATACAGCCTTGACGTACGTACTCCTTTCCCAATTTTGAACAGGTTTCTCAGGAGGCAGGTAAGGTGGTCTGGTATTCTCATTTCTTGAAGAATTTTCCAGTTTGCTGTGATCCACATAGTCAAAGGCTTTGGCATAGTCAATAAAGCAGAAGTAGAAGTTTTTCTGGAATTGTCTTGCTTTTTCTATGATCCAATGGATGTTGGCAATTTGATCTCTGGTGCCTCTGCCTTTTCTAAATACAGCTTGAACATCTGGAAGTTCATGGGTCACGTATGGTTGAAGCCTGGCTTGGGGAATTTTGAGCATTACTTGCTAGCGTGTGAGATGAGTGCAACTGTGCAGTAGTTTGAGCATTCTTTGGCATTGCCTTTCTTTGGGATTGGAATGAAAACTGACCTTTTCCACTCCTGTGGCCACTGCTGAGTTTTCCAAATTTGCTGGCATATTGAATGCAGCAGTTTAACAGCATCATCGTTTAGGATTTGAAATAGCCCAGCTGGAATTCCATCACCTCCGCAAGCTTTGCTAGCAGTGATACTTCCTAAGGCCCTCCTGACTTTGCATTCCAGGATGTCTGGCTCTAGATGAGTGATCACAGCTTCTCAATGACCCTCTTCCTGCTGCTTCCTATCTCCTCTCTTGCACTAGAGCCTAGTCTCAGACACAAGCTGGGGGAATCTGAGGCCCTGCCATCACTTTCTGCTCTCCACATGCACCCCCTTAAGGTCAAGCCATTGTGGCACATGCTTTGCCCTCCCTCCACCCCTTCTTTATATTTATCTATTTGGCTGCATCAGGTCTTAGCTATGGACGTGGGATCTTATGTTGCAGAGCATTGGCTCCAGAGCACACGGCTCAGCAGTTGGGTTGCACGAGTCGCGGCATGTGGGATCTTAGTTCCCCAACCAGGGATCAAACCCGCGTCCCCTGCTTTGGAAGGTGGATTCTTTACACTGGACCATCAGGGGAGTCCCTTGCTCCACCACTTGTATCTGCTACCATATCTGGGTTTCCAGACATAATGTGAGCTTCTCCAACCCCCAGCTGCCTAATGCTCCCTCATGTCCTCCTGACGAAGGACTTGAGATCCACCTGAGAGAGGCTCCCAGGAACCAGCAGGCAGACAGGCTGAGCCTCCGTAAGCTCAGGACTACGGTGGACCAAGTGTAGTATGCTCACATGCAGGGCGGGGCTGCCGGGAAAGGATGCCCAGGTCAGCCCGCAGTCACCACCCGTGGGCCCCAGGAGGGTAGCCACAGAGGCAGCGGGAGACGGTGCGGCAGCCGAGGGGCCAGGCCCCAGGGTCTGCTCGCTGCACACCTTCCCCAAGCCCCAAAGGGGTGCACTTCTGGAAGGCCACGCTGTGGTCACGGGGTTCCCGCACCGCAGTTGAGTCGCGTCGGCAGAGCTCACAAGACCCTCCAGGGAGGGCAACTTGTCACTAGAGCCTAAGCAGTTGGTTTCTTTTTTTAAATTAAAGGATAATTGCTTTACAATGTTGGTTTCTGCCATACATCAACCATGAATCAGCCACAGGGATACACGTGTCCACTCCCTCGTGAACCTCCCTGCCACTCCCTTCCCCATCCCACCCCTCCAGGTTGTCACGAGCACTGGTTTTAGGCTCCCTGTGCCACACGGCAAGTTCCCACTGGCTATCTACTTTACACAGGGTTTTATCATCCCATATAGTTAGAGTTTAACCCCAGCTGGACGAGGCCCTCCTGGGACATTAACGGGCCTGGCTTTTCCCCTCAGTCTGCCCCAGGCCTGACTTTGTTCTGACACATAAAACTCCGTTCAGCAAACACTGGGTGTTTGCTGGCCCCTTCAGAGGAGCCGCACTGAACACCTCCTGGAAATTTCTGCTATCACATTTACAATAACTCCTTTGGCCTTAAGGGAACAAGTTCTCCACAGTATTGCAGTGAAAAGGAGAAAAGAGTAATGAGTTTTCTTTCCTTCCCTGAAAACAAAGAAACAGAGAATAATGAGCAGGCCTGATCATTCCTAGTTTTTCCTTTAACTGTTCCTAATCTGTAGTCAACATTCAAAAAATGAAGATCATGGCGTCCAGTCCCATCACTTCATGGCAAATAGATGGGGAAACAATGGAAACAGTGAGAGACTTTATTTTGAGGGGCTCCAAAATCACTGTGGATGGTGACTGCAGCCATGAAATTAAAAGATGCTTGCTCCTTGGAAGGAAAGCTATGACCAACCTAGACAGCATGTTAAAAAGCAGAGTCATTACTTTGCTGACAAAGGTCCACATAGTCAAAGCTATGGTTTTTCCAGTAGTCATGTGTGGATGTGAGAGTTTGACCATAAAGAAAGCTGAGAGCTGAAGAATAGATGCTTTTGAACTGTGGTGTTGGAGAAAACTGTTGAGCGTCCCTTGGACTGCAAAGAGATCCAACCAGTCAATCCTAAAGAAAATCAACCCAAAATATTCATTGAAAGGATTTATGCTGAAGCTGAAACTCCAAAACTTTGGCCATCTAATGAGAATAGCTGACTCATTGGAAAAGACCCTAATGCTGGGAAAGACTGAAGGCAGGAGGAGAAGGGGACGACAGAAGATGAGATGGTTGGATGGCATCACTGACTCGACGGACATGAGTTTGAGTAGGCTCCGGGAGTTGGTGATGGACGGGGAAGCCTGGTGTGCTGCGGTCCTTGGGGCCGCAGAGTCGGGCACGACTGAGCCTGAACAACGATGACCTGTAACTAAGTTTGCTTCTCTGCCTCTGACTCTGCAAGAGTGATTTCTGCACCTATTAACTCTATGTAACACATCCTATATCTGGTGCTCACCTTTACTGCACTCTCTCTCTCTCTGCAGACCACCTCTTGTAGTTTTTCTCATTTTTTGCATTCAGAAAGAAGGCCATATTTCAATACACAACATAGTTCAAGACCCAACTACCCAACATCAACCTACGACTGCTTCTGAAACAATGCAGGAGGAAGAAGAATACAAGATCCTGATGTCCTCGTCCCTCATCACCACTCCAACTGTGAGCCCTCATCTGTGGGATCCCCCGACTCCTCATGGAAGAGGGCACAGTCCTCGAGGCACGAGCCTGTTCTGTTCTGTCTCCCCTCACTGGTTGAGGATTAAAGCCACCTTTCTATTTCCTCCAAACTCTGTCTCTGTTTTTTTGTTTGTTTGTTTGTTTGTTTGGCTTTGGTGGGCAGAGAATCCAAGATTTTTGGTGGCAACAACAGCAGCCCAAGAACAATAATGTCTTCAGAGAAATCCCTCATTTCTAAGGAGAGCCTCTTCTTTTGCAGAAGACCTTCTGGTCCCAACACCCGTGGAGTCAGCAGGGTGTGGGTGTGGGATGGGCTGGGCAGTCCACCCAGCAGGACTGGTGCTCAGGGAGCCACTTCTGGGGCTGGCAACGGGAGGGCTGTTCTGCCCGCCAGGGAGACAGGGTCCCGAGCATTTGCCATCTGTCT